AAAAAAAAACGGGATTGAAAAGGTGTTTAGAGTGAAAGTCGGGGAGGGGGGAGGACTCCCATTTGAAAATGACGGAGACACTCGTCGTTCCGCTCAGGGGTAGAAATTGCAGATTTTGGTCTGTTTGGTCTCACTTCAGTACGGTTTTGAGGATGGAAAGCCATTATTTTTATCTATAAAGGTATCGTTTAGGGTTGTGGGTAAGAAAAAATCTATATAAATACTAGCAATAACCAAAGGTTAAGGAGTGTGGACGAGCAAACGCTCTAGCTCTAACGCTGTGTTTTGCGAAAATTTCATTGGATAGGTGACGCGCATGCTCAGATAACGAGCGATAAAAGGTCCTTTAAAAAGGGAACTAACGTGCGTGATGATCAGATTACGTTCAGACATTCCATTCTTTCTTAGTGGAAGTCCGGATGCACATTCAAGGCCACATACTTTTTCAAGTTATCTGCTGACAAGTTGATAATACAATTTCTTTTTCTCAACTTTTAAGTCAAAGGTATTTACTTTTGATTTCAACGGCTAGATGTTTATTGCTCCAGCTAATTTTAATGGTTAGTATCTAACTGTAGCCCCGCTTCTAGGCTTTCCTAAATTTTTGTGTTGGTTAGTAATACCTTGATGGGAGGTTTGCGCGTGATATGGGAAACCAAGAAATTCATGGCAATATCTTCACAATTCATGTACTCATCTACTTTGTCTCTGATTACTTGTGGCATCCAGTGAAAGTATAGATATGCAAAGTACTGTACAAAGGAGAGAAAAAAAAAACAATAAAACCTTTACAATCTGTAATATTTTCTTTAGCCAATTTTAGGCGTTCAGGAAGTGGGGACAGCGCAATGGGCAGGATTTCTCTCTGATCTCCACTTTGCATCACTATCTACTATCTTCATATCTGAAACTGGTTATTATTTCATGTAAATGCAAAAGTCGTATTGGAATTTAAATAGATAGTGCAATGAAGTAAAAAAAAACTACAAACTATAATATGTTGCTGGTAAGGGTTTCATCAAAACCTGGGACCTGGGTACCAAGCCAAATGCGAAACTCAAGTTCTCTTGGGTCATTTAAGTCTAATTTAAAGACTTTCCTGTTCAAACTGGCACTTTGTTAGTTACTTGTTATGGACCGTAGAACAAGTTTTACTATATTTTATTTTTAATTTTTCTCATTATTAATTTTCAGATATAGATAATTTCATGTACATTAATATTTAATATTAGTACATTATGTACCAGTTAAATTAGTAACATTTTAGACATTTTTGTAAACCCATTGAGGCGTATGCGAAATGTGTAATAAGAACGCTATTATTATTATTTTTATTATTATTATTATTATTATTATTATTATTATTACCAACACCAATATACCCTCAACACAGTACCGACCTTCAAAATAAAAATTGGAGAAGCCTACTCTCAAACCAACTCGCCAACTTTCTCTGCCTACTCAATAGTGGGTGTCCTTAAATAGTGACAACCCTGTGCCGGCCCCAAAAATTTGGGGTCAATTTAATAAAACAAGTGTAGCTATTGCCAGACTCTAAAACAATGGCTGCATTTGTAATCTACACTTGCAACATATAGTTTTATTAAATTGACCCCTGGTTGAACACAGACAATAATGTCCAGAGCAATGTTAAGGCTTGAACCTAGACCAGCAGATCTGATGCGACCTGTTCATGACCCAACCAACAGGCTTCCACTAGGGCTTCTGTTGGGTAACAACCCATATTTTTCCAATGATTTGTTTCTCCAAGCTCCATAATGCTCACAGGAAATTTTAGTTCACTGTGGTATTATACTTTTAGAGTGGAAAGAGTTCATTAAAACAATAGACTAAACCAATGACCAGCTTACAAGGAGTTGGGGGAAAGGGGGGGGGGAGAGGGTGGAAGTTTTTCAAAATGATAATTACCAACTGCACCCTTCACACTATGGCTGTCTTCTTTAACCCACTAATAAAAGTGATCACTATTTAATTTCTCCTTTAAGTAACTGACACAATGCTAGATGAAACATAAAGGTAGTGACAAGAAAGGAGATGAACAGCAAGTGAGAAAGGTCTTGATTGTCGTAGAGGACATTACTTCATGAACAATAGATCTACCTGTAGATTTATATTTTAGAGACTCTTCTTAAGTATTAAAGCTCTTACCTTATGGTAGAAAGCAGCACCAGTCAGAATCATGGAGAGTTCACAGGAATACTCTGAGCTATACAACCACTGATTGTTCTCTGTATCCCATGCATGGAATCGGCCAGGAAATCCCACAATACGATCTCTATTTTCCCTCCAGACCCTGTATTAAGACAAAATTTCAAAAGTGCTTGTGTTTTTAAAGACCTGTCATTCATGCACAGATCAGTATCTTACAGGTCAAATTTGTCCAGGTTAATTTCATTTATTTAACCTCAATAAAAAGTTAAACAAGCCCAGAAAGAGATAATGTTATTAGCCAAAATAAATCTGGTAACTTCTTAAACAAAACACAGTCCTTAGAAGGCTTAAACATACTTACTTTACTTTATGTGCCATATAAAAGGCATTCAATGCAAAAAATGAAAGTAGGAACATGACTAGAAAAAGACAGGAAAAAAATTCTTATGCCCAGGTGTGAACTAGCTTGCACCTATCCATTGGCTTAATGACCTCAGAAACCCTTACCAATCAGACAAGAAAATGACAACATGAGACATTTCAAAAAATTAATATTCAATAAACTTAACACTATGTCATGAAGATCACCCAAGTCCATTCTTGGAAACCAATTCAACATGATGCTTTTTGAAAAGAATCACTTCTCTCAAACAAAGTTTGAAACACAAACAGTGAAAATGAAACCAGTGAAGTTACTCATAGAAGTTACTAATCTTTTGAAGAAAAATGAAAACAATTTAGCTTCAAAAACATCTTCTCATCACGCAGTGGCCAAACATCAGGATGTGGTATCATTAAAGACCATTTCTATGACAAACCATCCAGGTAATTTTGCATGTTCATAACTTGTTTGAAGTTGAAATAAGCAAAAGGTCGAGCTAGAATAGGCACTGCCTTGCAGCCTGACAAATTACACAGACTTACATGATATGGACAGCAGCTTGATAAAAGTGAGAACACAAACTGTACATACCTGTAGGCCAAAAGTATTTCATCATGTCGCATTTCCACGTCATCATCGATAGCAAAAATAGCATCAGTTTCAATGACATCATATGGTATGAAGCGGTTATTTAAACTGTTCTTCGCTACTTTCACCACCTGTTGAAAATAATAAACTTAGTATGTGTCATCAAAATGCTGGCCTGTTCCAGGCACTCAGACTGTGGGGATTAAGGCACAAAAAAGATGCGAGCAGAAAAAACAGTGAGGAGGAGGAGGGGGGTAGAAAGCATGCCCATAGTACATTTTAACAAAAACTTGTTCCAGAGATACTGCTTGTTCCAGAATCTTGTATACCCTATGCAGGGGTTTCAAAACAAGCCAGTGACTGCGACAGTTCCACCGGCTACTTGACTGTATGTCGGCGGCTACTGACTGGTCATAACAATCAGCTCGTAACAAAACAATCTCTATTGTCACAGCCGCCTACTTTTCCAGAGTCGGCCGCTAAAACATTTTGAAACCCCTGCTCTGATTGATTTATTTTGACAGCTCTTGTCAACACTCGGAGGTCCAATACCTTGACTGAAAATGTGATGTAACAGCAATGAGTTCATCCTGTCATCTTTTGCAATAGATGGCAAGGATGCCAGACATGGATTGAAATTTAAAAAAGTTGGGCCAATTTTTTCATGTTTTAATGCTATGACTGCAATCTTCATTTTTCTACTGCTACTTCAAAAGTTAACGTCAGCCCTGGAGCTTTTAGTAAAGGGCTAGGAGGTGGTGCTCCTATGGCTACAACGAGCTCAACCCCACGCAACTTTGAGAAAAAGAAGATCATAGAACATAAAGAACTTCCAGAGTAACTTTTCAATTTCTGCCTACAAATTGCAAATACCAGGCAACTTGAAATCTCAGTGATGGCCCCGCTAACAACTTTCATTTACATCAGTACCTTTACTCACAGAAGTACCAGCCACCTGAAACAACCTTATCACAGAACACTAACTTACAATACTTCTAAAAGTTTCTTCTTTTTCACAATCCTACATTTTAAAACCATGAACTACCTGTGGGCAATCATAAAATTTATGCATGTAAGCTTGTATTATCTGACAATATAAATAAAGACGTAACATGCTTCACCACTTACATGAACAGGGACACCAATATCTGGCCACCTAAGAGACAAGGAAGGTGGCTCAGGGCTGTTCCACACAACAACCACTTTATTAAGGTACTGTAACCCAACAAGACGCTGAATAGATTCTATGAGAACCAATTCTCTCTGATATGTCAAGATGACAACAGTAAATTGCTCAACTGGATAATTTCCACCCAAAGCTTTGCTAAACTCAACTCCAGCCCCACCAGCACCTTCGCCAATGAGTTCAAATCCTTTACTAGAATTCCTAAAAGGTGCAGAGGAAGGGAAAACAGGGTCAAATGGCGAGCTTGGGTACATCTCAAAGGAACCTGGTGGTGAATTCCAAAATTTGTATCTATCCACAACAGTCGTTGTAAAATTCCTAACAAAGGCTGGAGATTCTAGAGGCAGTCCAATGACTGCATCTGGATCTGGTGAACTTGTCACAGGTATTCTAGCATCACTAAACACAGAAGACGTTGGAGAGGATGGTACAGGGTGAGCAGGAATTGAAAGACGTGTCCTTATAGTGGCTAACATTGTTTTTAAAATAGCATTAGTTGTTGACAGGTATGTTTCCCAAAGAAATCTACCCTGCCAACGTAATTGAAGTATGTCTTCATTTGTGATTGTTCGAAGTAAGACATTTAATTCAGGAACACGAATATGGGAAACCAAGAAATTCATGGCAATATCTTCACAATTCATGTACTCATCTACTTTGTCTCTGATTACTTGTGGCATCCAGTGAAAGTATAGATATGCAAAGTACTGTACAAAGGAGAGAAAAAAAAATAATAAAACCTTTACAATCTGTAATATTTTCTTTAGCCAATTTTAGGCGTTCAGGAAGTGGGGACAGTGCAATGGGCAGGATTTCTCTCTGATCTCCATTTTGCATCACTATCTACTATCTTCATATCTGAAACTGGTTATTATTTCCTGTAAATGCAAAAGTCGTTTTGGAATTTAAATAGATAGTGCAATGAAGTAAAAAAAAACTACAAACTATAATATGTTGCTGGTAAGGGTTTCATCAAAACCTGGGACCTGGGTACCAAGCCATATGCGAAACTCAAATTCTCTTGGGGTCATTTAAGTCTAATTTAAAGACTTTCCTGTTCAAACAGCCACTTTGTTAGTTGCCTGTTATGGACCGTAGAACAAGTTTTATTTTATTTTATTTTTAATTTTTCTCATTATTAATTTTCAGATATAGATAATTTCATGTACATTAATATTTAATATTAGTACATTATGTACCATTTAAATTAGTAACATTTTAGACATTTTTGTAAACCCATTGAGGCGTATGCGAAATGTGTAATAAGAACTGCTATTATTATTATTATTATTATTATTATTATTATTATTATTATTATTATTATTATTATTATTATTATTATTATTATTATTATTACCAACACCAATATACCCTCAACACAGTACCAACCTTCAAAATAAAAATTGGAGAAGCCTACTCTCAAACCAACTCGCCAACTTCCTCTGCCTACTCAATAGTGGGTGCCCTTAAATAGTGACAACCCTGTGCCATTTCTCTTTAATAAAACAAGTGTAGCTATTGTTTCCAGACTCTAAAACAATGGCTGCATTTGTAATCTACACTTGCAACATATAGTTTTATTAAATTGACCCCTGGTTGAAGACAGACAATAATGTCCAGAGCAATGTTAAGGCTTGAACCTAGACCAGCAGATCTGATGCGACGTGTTCATGGCCCAACTAACAGGCTTCCACCAGGGTTTCTGTTGGGTAAAAACCCATATTTTTCCAAAGATTTGTGTCCCCAAGGTCCACAATGCTGACAGGAAATTTTAGTTTACTGTGGCATTATACTTTTAAAGTGGAAAGAATGCATTAAAGCAATAGACTAAACCAATGACCAGCTTACAAGGAGGGGGGGAGGGGAGGGGAGGAGGGGGAGGTGGTTGCAAGTTTTTCAATATGAATATCACCATGGCTGTCTTCTTTAACCTATTAAAGTGATCGCTATTTAATTTCTCCTAAGGAACACTCCTCAATGAAACATAAAGGTTGTGACAAGAAATGAGACAAACAGCAAGTGAGAAAGGTCTTGATTGTCCTAGAGGACATTTCTTCATGAACAAGAGATTACCTGTAGATTTTTATATTAGGGACTTTTCTTAATTAGTATTAAAATTCTTACCTTATGGTAGAAAGCAGCACCGGTCAGAATCATGGAGAGTTCACAGGAATACTCTGAGCTATACAACCACTTATTGTTCTCTGTATCCCATGCATGGAATCGACCAGGAAATCCCACAATACGATCTCTGTTTTCCCTCCAGACCCTGTATTAAGACAAAATTTCAAAAGTGCTTGTGTTTTTAAAGACCTGTCATTCACGTATCAGTATGTTGCAGGTCAAATTTCATTATTTTATTTAACCTTGGTAAAAAGTTAAACAAGCCCAGAAAGAGATAATGTTATTAGCCAACATAAATCGGGTAACTTCTTAATTGTATTGGTTTGATTCAAGATAAGGGTTTACTCTATATGCCATATAAAAGGCATTGAAAAAAATGAAAGTCGGAACATGACTAGAAAAAGACAAGAAAAAAATTCTTCTGCCCAGGTGTGAACTTGCACCTATCCATTGGTTTAATGACCTCAGAAACCCTTACCAATCAGTCAAGGAAAATGACAACATGAGGCATTTCAAAAAATTTATATTCAATAAATTTAACACTATGTCATGAAGATCACCCAAGTTCATTCTTGGAAAACCAATTCAACATGCTGTTTGAAAAAGAATCACTTCTCCCAAACAAAGTTTGAAACACAAATAGTGAAAAAGAAACCAGTGAAGTTACTCATGGAATCATCTTCTGAAGAAAAATTAAACCAATTTAGCTTCAAAGACATCCTCTCATCACGCAGTGGCCAAACATCAGGATGTGGTATCATCAAAAGCCATTTCCATGACAAACCATCCAGGTAATTTTGCATGTTCAACTTGTTTGGAGTTAGAATAAGCAAAAGGTCAAGCTAGAATAGGCACTGCCTTGCAGCCCGTCAAATTACAGAGACTTACATGATATAGCCAGCAGCTTGATAAAAATGAGCACACAAACTGCACATACCTATAGGCCAAAAGTATTTCATCATGTCGCATTTCCACGTCATCGTCGATAGCAAAAATAGCATCAGTTTCAATGACATCATATGGTATGAAGCGGTTATTTAAACTGTTCTTGGCTACTTTCACCACCTGTTGAAAATAATAAACTTAGTATGTGTCATCAAAATGCTGGCCTGTTCCAGGCACTCAGACTGTGGGGAAGGTGCAAAAAGATGTGAGTAGGAAAAACAGTGAGGCCCGGGTAGTTAGGGGTGAGAGTGAAGGAACACCCGTAGTATATTTTGACAAAAGCTTGTTCCGGTTATACATCTACAAGAATCTTACCCTATGAATGATTTATTTTGACAGCTCTTGTCAACACTCGGAGGTCCAATACCTTGACTGGAAATGTGATGTAACAGCGATGAGTCCATCCTGTCATCTTTTGCAATGGATGGCAAGGATGCCAGACATGGATTGAAACTTTAAAAAGTTGGGCCAATTTTTTCATGTTTTAATGCTATGACTGCAATCTTCATTTTTCTACCACTACTTCAAAAGTTAACGTCAGCCCCGGGGCTTTTAGTAAAGGGCTAGGAGCTGGTGCTCCTATGGCTACAACGAGCTCAACCCCACGCAACTTTGAGAAAAAGGAGATCATAGAACATAAAGAACTTGCAGAGTAACTTTTCAATTTCTGCCTACAAATTGCAAATACCAGGCAACTTGAAATTTCAGTGATGGCCCTGCTAACAACTTTCATTTACATCAGTACCTTTACTCACAGAAAGACCTAGCCACCTGAAACAACCTTATCACAGAACACTAACTTACAATACTTCTAAAAGTTTCTTCTTTTTCACAATCCTACATTTTAAAACCATGAACTAACTGTAGGTAATCATACAATTTATGCATGTAAGCTTGTATTATCTGACAATATAAATAAAGACGTAACATGCTTCACTACTTACATGAACAGGGACACCAATATCTGGCCATCTAAGAGACAAGGAAGGTGGCTCAGGGCTGTTCCACACAACAACCACTTTATTAAGGTACTGTAACCCAACAAGACGCTGAATAGATTCTATGAGGACCAATTCTCTCTGATATGTCAAGATGACGACAGTAAATTGCTCAACTGGATAATTTCCACCCAAAGCTTTGCTGAACTCAACTCCAGCCCCACCAGCACCTTCGCCAATGAGTTCAAATCCTTTACTAGAATTCCTAAAAGGTGCAGAGGACGGGAAAAGAGGGTCAAATGGGGAGCTTGGGTACATCTCAAAGGAACCTGGTGGTGAATTCCAAAAATTGTATCTATCCACAACAGTTGTTGTAAAATTCCTAACAAAGGCTGGAGATTCTAGAGGCAGTCCAATCACTGCATCTGGATCTGGTGAACTTGTCACAGGTATCCTAGCATCACTAAACACAGAAGACGTTGGAGAGGATGGTACAGGGTGAGCAGGAATTGAAAGACGTGTCCTTATAGTTGCTAACATTGTTTTTAAAATAGCATTAGTTGTTGACAGGTATGTTTCCCAAAGAAATCTACCCTGCCAACGTAATTGAAGTATGTCTTCATTTGTGATTGTTCGAAGTAAGACATTTAATTCAGGAACACGAGCTGGTGCAAGGATAATCACAGCTTGGTGCCAGTCAATCATGTCATTGAAAGGAAGCACTGCTCTACTTGAAAGTACTACTGGTATGGCACCACATTGCAAAGCTTCAAGAAGCCGTATATGACAATTATCCCAATTAGAGTTCTTGCCATGTGAGCCCGCAATTAAAGTAAATGTTGATTGATGGAGAACTTTTGTTCTATTTTCATGTGATCCCCATAGCAACCATTCATCTTCTTCACTTGAGTTAAAGCTTCCAGGCTTCAATAAATATAACTCCATAAAGAAATCTTTGGCCTCCCTGGAAAGCTCATTTAATTGATCACGTAGAACTGCCATTGCTTTTGTGACATGATCAGTATGCATGGCTTGAAAACTCAACAAGTATTTTCTTCTTGCCGGGAGCTGAAGAGAGGCACGACTCCAAGCATCTCCCTTTGGAGGCCCATTTGAAGGTGGCAATACTATGTCAAAGCCAGGGCGAAAAATAACGCCATCAGGGAATGTTGACTGTGCAATTAATGCAAGTCCAGTGTTAATATCCGAGGATGGAAAATTAGAAGAGTGGTTGCTTGCTTTAATTGTTAAATATAAAATTAAATGATTTCTACCATTTCCTCCCCAGTAAGGCAGAGAGTGCAAATCAGATTGAAATTCAGAGTTACTTTTACGTTCCAAAATTCCTTCTGTCAATCCAACAATAACTATATACAGGCAGGCTTTCGCTGGCTCTGAAATAAAATAANGCTAACATTGTTTTTAAAATAGCATTAGTTGTTGACAGGTATGTTTCCCAAAGAAATCTACCCTGCCAACGTAATTGAAGTATGTCTTCATTTGTGATTGTTCGAAGTAAGACATTTAATTCAGGAACACGAGCTGGTGCAAGGATAATCACAGCTTGGTGCCAGTCAATCATGTCATTGAAAGGAAGCACTGCTCTACTTGAAAGTACTACTGGTATGGCACCACATTGCAAAGCTTCAAGAAGCCGTATATGACAATTATCCCAATTAGAGTTCTTGCCATGTGAGCCCGCAATTAAAGTAAATGTTGATTGATGGAGAACTTTTGTTCTATTTTCATGTGATCCCCATAGCAACCATTCATCTTCTTCACTTGAGTTAAAGCTTCCAGGCTTCAATAAATATAACTCCATAAAGAAATCTTTGGCCTCCCTGGAAAGCTCATTTAATTGATCACGTAGAACTGCCATTGCTTTTGTGACATGATCAGTATGCATGGCTTGAAAACTCAACAAGTATTTTCTTCTTGCCGGGAGCTGAAGAGAGGCACGACTCCAAGCATCTCCCTTTAGAGGCCCATTTGAAGGTGGCAATACTATGTCAAAGCCAGGGCGAAAAATAACGCCATCAGGGAATGTTGACTGTGCAATTAATGCAAGTCCAGTGTTAATATCCGAGGATGGAAAATTAGAAGAGTGGTTGCTTGCTTTAATTGTTAAATATAAAATTAAATGATTTCTACCATTTCCTCCCCAGTAAGGCAGAGAGTGCAAATCAGATTGAAATTCAGAGTTACTTTTACGTTCCAAAATTCCTTCTGTCAATCCAACAATAACTATATACAGGCAGGCTTTCGCTGGCTCTGAAATAAAATAATGACTTTCCTTCAACAACTGCGAAATTATCATAGTGTCAGAGTCAAACATTCGCTGACCCAAAGGGCGCTCATACACGTAAACAGGGAATCCTGAATCAAAAGAACACCTTGAAAAGTCAAAACAGTTGTGTAACTGGCAGTTTGACAAGATTCTCTGATCTGGAAGTGGACTTACTTCACTTTCAGAAGGAACTGTAAGTCTCTGAGGCAATTTCAATTGTGGCAATTCTGGACAGTCATTGGCTCGCACTTTGGCAAGTTTAATTAGTTCTAATTCCCTTTTAGCTCGAACCACATCTGAATGATAATGCTCTGCTTGAATTCGCGTTCCATCCGCCTTTTTCGCAAAAGTGGATATTTCTGTCAGAAGTCTGTTCTTTTTTCCTTCCAGCTCTCTCAACTCGTTTGTCAGAGAAAGCTTAATTCTTTGAAGTTCATCAACTTGATATTTCAGATCATCAATGTTATCTAACAACAAGTCGAATTTGCCAGCAGGTCTGTCTAATTTCGATCGCGTTTGAAAGTGGTCCATTGGAGTTCTTTCAGAAGGCACAGTATGTTTTCCTAAATAGTAATGAGTTACTAACGGCACAAAGAGCGCAAATACCAGAACAGACACAACCAGTCTGCCAAGCGACGAGTCCTTCAGCTTATACATCAATATATGCATTGTGCCGAAACGTTATCTTCTTCTTCGAAGAAGGAAACTATTTTTGACGACAAAAGGAAGAAATAATGCTTCTTGAAAGGAAGGTGTTTGCCGTAAAATGATCCACTGTTCGAGGGAAATTTAATATTCCGGAAACATCAATGTCTGTTCTTTAAAGATAATTTACTGAATGAATCGACCCAATCTGTAGCGACGACAGTACCAATCGTGAGTCCTTTCAGTAGAATACTGTTAAATACAACTCTATTCCTTTTCGCTTGAAATGTCGTCGAAAGGAGTTTTTCAAACGATGAAAAATCCATATGGCATGCCATCAAAATCATTCCCACCGCGAAAATGAAATTTAAGCCGGGCCGGCAAATGCATCCACACGTTTTCGTTTCCACTTCTTACTTGAGAAAAATTATGTCAATTCATTGCCAAGTTCAATTCATATTTTGTTAGATTTAGAGGCCACTTGTCCAAGGCTTGGACGAGAAAACAACGGTAAAAGACCACCAACAAAAACAGCTAAACTTTTCAAAATAGCGCGACGGATGGAAGACGTGATCTGATGCGTCGAGAAAGACTGGAACGGGTGACATTAGATACCGGAAGTAAAATAAGATACGGAACCGGAAATACAGTACAGCACAATGGAGTTGCATAGGTAAATTGCCCTTTAACATTTCACCGCAGTCAAAGGAGAGTACGGCTTGCTTGCTACTTTTAGTGTTGAAAGGCTTTTAATTTACTAAAAGTTTAGAAAGTTTACTAAGAAAGTTATCAGTGTTTGAAAACTGAAACTGATGTTATGGTCGGCTCCATTTAATTTTATTCGGGCGCGAGCCTGTTTCAACCAAACGATGCTTAGTACTTCAACAAAAGTGAAAAGATAGTACTTGTCCATGTTTCCTCTTTCGCCCCACCCGGATTTCGGGATCCGGGAAATTTTTGCATGTAGAATCCGGAATCCTGAGCCTTGGAATCCGGAATACAGCTTTAGGAATCGGGAATCCCACCAACAATTGGAATCCGGGATCCAAGTTCCACTGAAAAAGATTTCGAATCCAGTAGCTGGAGTCCGCAATCCAAGGCGTGGGACTGTCTTGGATTATTTTCTTGGATTCCCTTTCATAGGGTGACTTCTTACTGGTGAATAAAATCCCAGCAAATAAAACAAGACCTTATATCAGGCTTGGACGTTTTCGAGGGGTTGAGGGGTTCTTGATGCTTAGGGTGCCTTTGTGTAGGGGGTTCTTACATCAAAGGAATCTTACTGTTCAGGGATTCTTACATCCAGGGCATTCTTACGCCAGGGATTCTTACATTCAGGTTATTCTTACGTCCTGGGTTCTTACATCCGGCCCGGGTATTCTTGCGTCCAGGGATTCTTACATCCGGGTATTCTTACGTCCAGGGATTCTTACATTCAGGGATTCGTACGTTGAGGCGTAATTACGTTCAGAGGTTCTTAAATCCAGAGTTTCTTACCTCTAGGGGTTCTTACGTTCACGTGCTCTTATGTTTAGGGGTAATTACATCTAGGGGTTCTTACATCCATGGTTTCTTGCGGTCGGAGGTTCTTACATCCAGGGCTCAGGAAAATGACATAAAAACTGCAAGAGTCATTCACATAGCACTTCAGTTATCCTGCATTTGGGACATCACCCATGGCAGATCATCAATGTTGATTTTAAAAAGCGCAGAACCCAGAATCGAGCCCTCCTCTCTCGTATATAGACAAAAATGTGCACAAAACCGGAATAAAATTTTTCCTACACGTAAATTGACTGGCCCGCCAAGAATAGCCCGCACTAGCTACCTGCGCGCCAGTGCAAATTTGTGAAACTTAATTTGGGGAAAAATAAAGATTATTCTTGTTGTTGTCGATACGCTTCCAATTCTACCTGACTGAGGTCTGCCGGTCAAATAACTTGTGAACCGTTCAGTTACCTGAAAGATTCCCAAACCTCCAAGTCGCCTCAAAGGGCAGCAAGGGATACTGTGTTCGGTGCTGTTAGCCGTAAGCCCTCAACAAATCAGGGGCACCCAACGTCAATTATCGGAAAATATCTGTTCGGAAGACGATTTGAGATCTAGAATTTTCGGAACATTTTTTGTAAAATTTCTTGCTTGCCTACCTCTCCTACGATTTTCGAACATCTAAAAATTGGTGTAATTGCCCATTTTTAACGGATTCTTACCCTAAAAAGCTCACCTAGAATTTTCGGGAGCCTTTTTTCTGGCTGAAATTTTCGAAAAGGTAAGTTTTGATCCCTATGATTTTCGGATCTCGAGACTTTCAGCTAGGAAATCCAAAAGATCCAAATCCAAAACTGATAAAGGTTCATTAACAACAGCCCGGGGCGTGCAATTTGTCACTTTGTAGGTAGCGCCTTATTCGCGGGAAAGATGAGACGACGGCGACGGCGACGGCGACGGCGACGGCGACGGCAACGATAACGTCGAAAAAGCTGAATAGGTTTATGCCCCGTCCACACGAATCCGGATACTTTTGAAACCGCACACTTTTTTATACGGTTCGGCCTTCCCTTCACACGAAACCAGTGAATCGGCTCACCGACACCTCATATTTTTGAAAACGCTCTACAGAGAGGATTTTTTGAATCCGACGGGTTTGGTGAATTTGTGTGGACGGCAGAAACCGTGATATTTTTGAAGTCAACTACGCGGGTTCGGTTTGCTCATCCCTACTAGAGAGTAAATATAGCAAATGTAAATAGCAGTGTGGATTGGTGAATCCAAATTAACCCAATTCGCCACACCGAATTCGTGCCGACGCAAGTCAAGTATGTAACTATACGGCTTCAGCTTATGAGAAATTCATGTGGACGTGGCCTTAGGCCCTTAGCCTGGTGTCTCGCTCTCGCACGCCCGTTCTTTCTTGCGCCCACTACTTCCAAGCACCTGCTACGCAGGCTCATGATTAGGCACTGTCCACACTAAAAAAGTATGCGTTTTCGTTTTCATCGAAAAAGTATCGATGAATTCGCGTCCAGACTACCGTTTTGATGTGTTTTCAGGTCTGCACTAAAACAATCGAAAACGATAGAATTGCAAGGTGTGACGTAAGTTGAACTTTATGCGCATTGTACAAAAACGCGCGGTTGTGATCTTTTTGGTCATCGTTTTCATTTTGAACCGTTTTCGACACCGTTTATCTAGACACTAATGATCCACTTTAAAGACCGTTTTCAAAGCGATGCGTTTTCGATAAAACGTACGCTCACCGCTCTAGCGTGGCCGGAAGGGCTAAGCGCATTGAGATGTATAATTTTTCAAACGAAAACGAATTAGACTCAGCCCACACTAAGAGCCTGTTTGCATGAAGGTGGGGGATCCCAGGTAGGCGAGGTAACCCACTTAGGTGGGGTAACGCGCCTGTTTCTTATAATCTCTCATTAATTTGATCACGTTTACATGATAGGTGGGGTGACCCGCTAAGGCGGGTAGCCCCTTCTGCGGGTTTCTCTCTCAGCAGGGGTCAAATTTTACTTTGTAAACGTTTCAAGGTGGGGTAGCCCGCCTAGCCGGGGTTGGACTCGTGATACATCAAATTCGCGCAAAATTCCCTTTGGCGGTAGCTTTCCATCATTATTTTAAAAGGTAACAGTAGAAAGCCAGAGCACTGAAGGTTGCAGCAAGAGTAGCAAGTGAGTGTAAAAGATTATTAATCGCCAGAATATGTTGTTTGCCTGCATTTTTCTTGTTTACGTGCTTAACGACCATTCAATAATCTTGAGAAAGTGCACCCCGGGATAGCGGGGTTGTAAGATCGCATGTAAAGGAGGGTTTTTCTTTACCCCACCTAAGCGGGCTACCTCATCTACCTGGGGTCCCCCACCTCCATGTAAACAGGCCATAATGCAAAACAACGACGGAAGTGCAGCACGCGTTTTGTTTAATTTTTCGCCCTCACTGCCCGACTACGGCGTGAAATTGCCTAATTTCACATTTTATATCGACAACACCAGCGTATTTGACTTTCTTTTTTGGAAGTTGGACATTTTTCTTAGGAATTCGATTCCAGGAGAGTTGGCCTACTTTTGAAAAAGTGGAACCACTTGGATAATTGAGCTGAAGGGGTAGTCTGAGAACAAACGGTGAGCAAAGTGGGCCGCGCGAGGACGCGCGAGTGAGCTGCGCGCGAAGCCCAGACTCCCGTGAGAGCGCGTCTTTTTTCGAGTGCCGCTCGTGCTTGTTAATGAACACTCTCAATATCCCCCATAGAGAGCTTACTGGCAAGTACAGACCCTCTCAATTTAAAATGGCAGACTTATGGATTGAATGGATGAATAAACACGTACCCTTGTGGAGCTTTTGGAACAGTAAGAAAATAAATCTTCATTGATAACAACGTTTAAACGCCTTTGGGTAGAATAAATTAACCTCGCCGCTGACGCACTCATACAACCAAGGGAGGATAAACTAATATTGAAAAATGATTCGAAAAAAGGAAAGAGAAAAAAAACGTTTGTTTGCCTTTTTTTTTTAGATTTTTGGTTATGGAGCCATTCTGTCTGCCTTCCAATTGACTTAAAAACATCTGCTTCTAAACAATTATTTAAAAATTTCAAAAACCAACGCTTCTTTTATTTTGCAAAACACATTTTTGAGCCTCTGAAGTGAAGGTTGGTTACATGACCTATCAGAAGTGTCTGTAGAACAGGCTTTCGCAAACCGAAACAAAAACATTTTCTTGCTAATCTATAGATCTCATTCAAGGTTGCTCTGAGAAACGTTTCAATTAAAGTTTCTTTTCTGTTGTTTTGCATGGCTCAAAGCACCTGGGTTGGCCTATTGCATGCAATCGTATTTACTTAACCTTAGAAACCCAGTTTAATGAAATGAGTGGACGTGGAACATTAGGGAATTTTAGTGCACACTGACAAGTGGCGCTAAAAGGGGTCATTGAGACATCATGTGCTCATGATTTGTCTGATAAAAATAGAGTTCGTTTGACTGAATATATGTTCTTTTTTTACCGTAGACGTTTG